GCACGCGAGATACGTGCAGTGCGCGTACCTGTGTGCGAGCGTTATTTTCTCGGTCCATTATTGCCCGGCACGTTTTCTACCCATTCTTTTCTTCACTTTTACCATTTTATGTTATTATACGTTACGCGCACACGCGAACGCAACGCACAACACGTACGAGAGTACGCCGAGACGTACGTTACGCGCACGCACGGCATAACCCTGTGTACACGCGCTCACGCGAACGGTGTACGTACACGTTCGGTACCGGCGTGTTGCGCGCGCGCGCGTTCGTGTACACGCACCAACGTGGTAGGTACGTACGCTCACGCACGCGTCCGCGGTACCGGACGCGCGTACTCGCGGCTCGCGCACCGCCAGCGCAATCCGCGGTACGTTACATCGCGCGCGTGCACGCCGTCTCGGCGTTACGCGGACGACGCGTTCCGCAGTCGGCTCGAACGCGGTAAAATGTTCCGCGGCGGTGGGGAGGTGCACCGGTGTTGTGCCGACGCGCAGAACGCGATCGCGCCGAAACGTTGTTCGTCATTATGTAGGGCACGCGTTCGTCTCGTTCTCGCGGGAGACGATCGACCGCGGATCGTCGTTACGTCCCGTAAACAAACCGACCGGTAAAGGATGCGTAGCGCTATGCAACATGAACAATAAGAGACGATGGTTCGCGTGCGCCCAGTCCCGGTTAGTCCGGTTTACGCGCCGCGCGCAACGCACCTCGGGCGGGGGGGGGGGGGGCACCGAGACACGTAGGACGCGGTTTTGGTCCTGTAGACAACGGTTCAACTCTGTTTGTTGTTATTGTTGTGCCAACACGTTCTTATCGGAACAGCATCCGGTGTTCGGAGAATAGTCGCCGCGTTGTGTTTTCAGCGATACGCGTTCGGTTAAAATGTCCAGATTTAAGGAGTGACTCGGTCTTTCCGCCCTACGTGTACATGATTTATACGATTATATAATAAACGGAACCCGAGCATATTTCGTCGAGTCTACTCTTAAAAATACCGGATAAATGTACATACATCGCTGTACAATTCGTACCGGACCCGTATAGATGTACCACGTAAATATGTACGCGTTAGACCCTTATGTCGGCATATCGTCGACCATTTAAACGGTCAACGTTTATGCTGAAAATAACTTACAATGAATAAATAAAACGTGTTCAACATCGTTTTTCGAACATGGTTTCCCAACCTATTATTCACGAACCACATGATCATCAACCCGTCTTAACAGCACTCGGTTTATCCACCCTGAGGGAAAGGAGAAATCTGAGCGATGTTAAACTTTTAAATGGTTTAGTTTCTGGCGTGATCGACTCACCACACTTGTTAGCCAGAATAGGTTTTCGCATTCCAGGAACAACCCTGTTCGCGCGACCCTTACTACCTTGCTCCGGTGACAAAGAATTATTTGGATGATGAGGAGAGCTACGTCTTTAGTTAACAGTCAAACTAGTTACATCATTTTTGTAATTCAGGTTTTTTTTTTTGTTCCCGTTATATTTAATATTCTGGAGCTTACTATGTAATGCATAATCTTGATTTATTGATACTCAATGTGTTCTGTATATATTTATGAATATGTTATTATGTGTACTCATTAATATGTACTGTAAAATAAAAATAAATAAAAATAATTACTGATGTATTACCTACGTACACCAAGTCAGTACGTACAGAGTTACATTTATCGTAAAATATGTGTAACGTTTATTATTACCGGGAATATTTCCACTTATTGCGCCACTTATCGTTCGAAACAATAACGATAAGAAAGTCATTAATATGTGCATAATTATTATTGTTCGATGGCTATGATTTTCCCGGGATAAATATAATTAAGAAAAACGTATTTCTTTTATCACAACGTACGTGTTAAGTTTGAAATCATATGCGCTTGTAAACATATATATATGTATACACACACACACATACACACACACCCGCGCACGTAATTTTTAATACATCTGCTGATAATATATAATTATGTGTACGCGTAAAGAGTTCATTAATAAAAAAACGATTTCGAAATGCATCGATTGCTTTTAGATCGTTAAAACAGTATATTTCGAAAATGTACAGATATAATTGTGTACGAGACACTTCCGAAGATCAACGTGAACACTGTGCATCGTAAATTATTAGAGAGAATGCGATATTATTACGATAATATCTAAATTGATTCGTTCTACTAGGGTCTGGAAATGGTTTCGAATAATTTGTCGCGATTTGGTAATCCCAATACTATTTATGTTTATCGATATTTTCATAAATGTTTAAAGTTATCTGGATTTTGTACATTATCATACGACATAAAAAAAAAAATTAATTAAAAATCAGTTATTTATCGAGTGTTATGTAAACAGATTAACCGTGCGCTTGTTTAATATTTTTAACGAGTTACTGATGCCAGACCGTTTTTTATTTTTTTAGGTTTTTTTTTTAAATTGATAATAAAACTCTTAAACACTGTCAACGTTTGTTATTTATTATTCTTACCCTGTAATGGAATTTTTTATAATTATTATTGTTTAGGCATATTGTATGTATATTATATATATATATTATAATATACTATTACACTTTAATCACATGTCCATATAGTTCGAACGGAATTAATACAAAAATGAAACGTCATCATTGCACATTTTATCTTTACTACATTTAGAAAATAAATTAATATCAAAATATTTATGTAAAGTATTTATTTTTCTATGATAATTAATTGTATTGCCCGAAGCCAACATAATATGTACATTTTTATATCGTTTACGTATTTATTGTGAAGGTAATATCAATTATTAAAAATGCAGCCGTATAAATTTATAAAATATTACAACTCACTTTCAAATTAAAATAAAAAAATATTTTTTTAGAAATGCACCGACGAGTATAACTTATGTTTATTTATTCACAATGAAAAAAAAAATAGTATTGCTGGTTTACAAAAATATAATTAATTTAACAATTTTTTAATTAGTACAAATAATAACTGGTCGTACGTCCTTATTACAAGTATTAATTTAATAATTTTATATAAAAAAATGTTCATTTGTAGAAATAACTTTGATAAAAAAACAATATTACGGTATTATTGATAGCAATATATCACTATGGAACGATATCAAAGCAAATGTGCAACGCAGATAATAGTGAAGAGACGATTATCGTCCTCTGTCACTTAAAAGAATAGCGGGTTCCTTTTTTAGTTCTGTACTTAAAATTTATATTATAATTATAAATGCGAGTTAAAGAGTAAAACTTTGAATTTCCATAACAGGTACACACTACAAAATTGTACGCGTACAATGTGTGGAACACAGTAGGTATGTATAAATTACATATACTTCTATTATATTTAGTATGTCTATCTTTATATATATAACACAATAGTGCTGTAGAACAATGAAAATATGTGTATAAAACATAAACGAGAATGGTATACTGCACGTGTTCGAATTCCAACGGGTTGATCAAAAATCGTCGTTAAACATAAACAAAAATTCTTCATACACTATACGTACTATACACACTAAATACCTACCTAATATAAAATGTACCATCACAAGGTATAAACGCGTAAATGTATTTATACGTATAGGTAGTAATTTCTCGTCGGTTTTTCTGTACATGTATATTTGTTATGCGAGTGTTTCAATTTCTTCAAGACACAGCAACGGTGACGGCGGTATTAAATATAAATTTACGATAAATTTTATCGTAAAGGTACAGTATCTGCGCGGCGCGAGAAAATCAAAATAGTTTTTATTTTATTTTTTCATTTTTAATCTTTTTTGATGTTGCACACGCATGTATATAATACGTACGTGTACCAGCGCACCTCGATACTTATGTATCGCACGAAAACCGTAATTTTCTTTTATAATGTCTGTCTTAATTCGATGCACGATTACGAAATTAACGGGTGCGGCGTCGCTCGCGGCAGGGGACTGGTTGAGACCGAAGCGGCGAAGACGGAACGGGGGAGAAGCGAAAAAGAGTAGGAAAAGGACGGAGGCTATTATTGAACGAAATCATTGGCAGCCCGGCAAGGCAGTAGTAGCTAATTCGAAAAGGGTTAGCGCAACATTGTCTTAAATTATGGGTTACACCGTGCCGTCTTACCTCCTATAGGTACGTATAAAAATAATATACACGCGCGTACCCGGCTCAATTATAATAATAACGTGACAGACGGATACACGTGATTCATGGAAGAATATTATATTAGAACGAAATGTTCAAAAGGGTAAAAAAAAAATCGATGCGTAGATAATAAAATGTGCTGCTTACCACGGAATAATATCATCCACGCTCCATCAACCGATGAATATTATATACACATACTCATATGTATACATAGGTACGTCTCGAACGAGAGTGTTGTGTACTTGTTATTGTTATTGCTGCGACGAGTAAGAATTAACAGCGTTCGGTGTACACATTTTAGCCGACGAGCACTAACAAAAAACTAAAAATGAACACTTGTTAATTTTCTAATGCAACAATTTATAGTATTACAAAGTTGTATGACATAGCATTTATTTGGAAACGGATTTTCTTGCTCGGGTGGCGGGGTACGTACCTACTTTCAAATACATCATCGTCATGAATACAATTAATTTATAAGTACCTACACACAGGGGCGGATTAGACCGTAGGGAGTTCGAGAGTTTTTCCAGTCGGCCGCTCCTTCGAATAACTATTTTAAGTGTCAACAAATTGTTAGTAGCGCAATTAAAGTTTTCAAACGAATTCGGAGATTTCTACGGAGTTGTAGAGCCAAAATATCCTCTTCATCCTCCTCTGGGTACATAATACTGTATTGATAGGTTTAAATTTAAATTATACTTTATTATAACTACTTTATTATAATTATCATCATTTATTCTGTACATTTT